TATTCATAATATGTCAGTTAATGATGCAAATATGCATTAAAACAAAAATAAAAAAATTTCTAATTTTTCTTGAAATATGTGGGTTAACACCTTTGAAAAAATTGAATTTTCCGATAAATGCTATCTATAATTTTTAAACACTTAAGTGTTGTTTAAAAATACCAAACCACACTCTTAATGTATATTAATGTAGGCTTAACATATTTTCATGGTACATGGTCATCATTTCTAACTTTCCAACGCGTAGTTTATTTAAATTTGATATACAATCTAATTAGTGTCTTAACCTCTATAAAATCTCTATTTTCTAGAGAAATAGAAACACATACGGTCTCAAACCTCTTTAATATTCATAATATGTCAGTTAATGATGCAAATATGCATTAAAACAAAAATTAAAAAAAATCTTATTTTTCTTGAAATATGTGAGTTAACACCTTTGAAAAAATTGAAGTTTCCGATAAATGCTATCTATAATTTTTAAGAACTTAAGTGTTGTTTAAAAATACCAAAACACACTATTAATGTATATTAATGTAGGCTAAACATATTTTCATGGTACATTGTCATCGTTTCTAACTTTCCAACGGGTAGTTTATTTAAATTTGATATACGATCTAATTAGTGTCTTAACCTCTATAAAATCTCTATTTTCTAGAGAAATAGGAACACATAAGGTCTCAAACCTCTTTAATATTCATAATATGTCAGTTAATGATGTAAATATGCATTAAAACAAAAATAAAAAAAAAATTAATTTTTCTTGAAATAGGTGGGTTAACACCTTTGAAAAAATTGAATTTTCTGATAAATGCTATCTATAATTTTTAAACACTTAAGTGATGTTTAAAAATACCAAACCACACTCTTAATGTATATTAATGTAGGCTAAACATATTTTCATGATACATGATCATCATTTCTAACTTTCCAACGCGTAGTTTATTTAAATTTGATATACGATCTAATTAGTGTCTTAACCTCTATAAAATCTCTATTTTCTAGAGAAATAGGAACACATAAGGTCTCAAACCTCTTTAATATTCATAATATGTGAGTTAATGATGCAAATATTCATTAAAACAAAAATAAAAAAAAATTATTTTTTTCGAAATATGTGAGTTAACACCTTTGAAAAAATTGAAGTTTCCGATAAATGCTATCTATAATTTTTAAGTACTTAAGTGTTGTTTAAAAATACCAAAACACACTATTAATGTATATTAATGTAGGCTAAACATATTTTCATGGTACATGGTCATCGTTTCTAACTTTCCAACGCGTAGTTTATTTAAACTTGATATACGATCTAATTAGTGTCTTAACCTCTACAAAATCTCTATTTTCTAGAGAAATAGGAACACATAAGGTCTCAAACATCTTTAATATTCATAATATGTGAGTTAATGATGCAAATATGCATTAAAACAAAAATATAAAAAATTCTAATTTTTCTTGAAATATGTGGGTTAACACCTTTGAAAAAATTGAATTTTCCGATAAATGCTATCTATAATTTTTAAACACTTAAGTGTTGTTTAAAAATACCAAACCACGCTACTAATGTATATTAATGTAGGCTAAACATATTTTCATGGTACATGGTCATCATTTCTAACTTTCCAGGACGTAATTTATTTAAACTTGATATACGATCTAATTAGTGTCTTAACCTCTATAAAATCTTTATTTTCTAGAGAAATAGGAACACATAAGGTCTCAAACCTCTTTTATATTCATAATATGTGAGTTAATGATGCAAATATGCATTAAAACAAAACTAAAAAAAATTCTAATTTTTCTTGAAATATGTGGGTTAACACCTTTGAAAAAATTGAATTTTCTAATAAATGCTATCTATAATTTTTAAACACTTTAATGTTGTTTTAAAATAGTATTAATAATATAAATTTAAGCTAAGTTAATAAAAAGTATAATTTTATTGGTCAAGTATTTTTAAAAGTTAAAAAAAAAAACTTAAAGTATCAAAATATCATACATTTTCAAATATCAAATCATTTGTATAACATTTTACATTATGAAACAAAGAAAATATTTTAAAAATTTATGCAGAAAAGAAAATGAAAATGAAAATAATAGATAAAACGAATATTTTAAATATAAAATAAATTAAAACAATTTATAAAGTAACAAAAAGAAAATAAATAAATTTTAAACATATAATCCGAGTGAAGCGCGGAAAAAAGATCTAGTCATATATAATAATACAATTATGTTGAATTAATCTGACAATGATAAATGTAAGTAATGATGAGGCTAATCTTATATAATAAAGTTGGGTTTTGTCCCTTCTCCTGGGGGCAAAAAAAGCCACGTGGCATACTTATTCTTGGGCTATTTTGGAGTTATTGGTTTTCTGCGTAACTTATTGGGCTTTATCAATTTGGATGGCCCGTCGGTAGTTAGGATTGTCGTCGTCTTCTTCATCTGTTTGGCCGCCAAAGACAGAAGAACATTC